TGGTTTTCGAGGATAACGGCCTACCACCGCCGGCCAGTGGGGTTATGAAGGGAACAGCCTGCCCACCACCGCCAGCCAATGGGGTCGCAAGGATAACGGCCTACCTACACTGTCAACCAATGGCATCAGGAGGGTAGTGGCCTATGTACCGCGGCCAGCTAGCGGAGTTACTGCTTTAGCTCAGGGGTAATGTCTGGCGTGTGTGTGGTCAGCTGGCCTGCAGAAGACAAAAGCCTACTACAGCTACTAGTTTATGGTGGTACTCCCATATGTCGAGCGGTAGAGTTCAGAGTTCGCTGGGTGCTCATGAGAGGATAATAACCTACTGTGGCTGCCAGGTAAGGGTGGTACTCCTGGAGCTCAAGTGGTAGAGTTCAGCGTGTGCTGGTCCATGGGAGAGAACAGCTTATCCCTGCGACCAGCTAGATGGAGTAGCTCCTGTCACTCACACGGTAGCGGCCCCTCCTCCTATGTCTGGTGGACCCTGGATTGAACCCTGCAGGTGACCTATGAACTCAAACTTTCTCATGGAAATTTTGAGCGTGGGGACAAACCCAAAGATACTCACCTCTCCATCAGCTCCTTGGCATCCTGGAGGAGAGGAGAAAAGGGATGGGAATGAGTCAACACCCGAAGGAGCTACCTCCGCCTCCCCCCACCTCTGTCTATGGGAGAAACTCTGCTCTGCAGCCCCATAACTGCTGCCTCACCCCAGTCAACAGGACCCTTGTTTCCTCCCTCGACCAAGTTTTGGTCCCCATCTCTGTTCCCTTTCAGTCCTATCAACCCCCATTGACCCATCTCTGCTGGCACCCATACCCCAGCTCTTCTCCCCTGCCCCTTGCAAAGACCTATCCCGTCCCCCAGGCGGGCTCTGCCCCAGTTCTGCCCCCCTCCAGCCTTCCCTGTCCCCTCCCAACCCTCCCCCAGCCAAGGTCTGGCCCTTTCCCCTCACCTTGAGGAAGCCAATGTTGTCCTTGCGCTCCAGCCCCATGCGTACCCTGGAGAGGGTCTCGGTCCAGGAGGCCACTTTCCCATTCAGCTCCTGGAGCTTCTCTTCCATCTGCACCAGGTTCTTCTTCCTCTGTCACTCCAGCGCCTCCTTCAGGCCCAGCTCCCGCAGACTCAGCAGCTGGCGCATCTTCTCAAACTCCCCCGAGATGTGGTCCCACAGGGACTCGGAGCAGCTCTAGGCGATGCAAAGGTGTGGGGGGACAGGATGGAGACCTCAGTGGATGCCTGATCCATCAGGCACCAGACCTACTTCTGCACCAGGGATGGGCAAACTTTTTGGCCTGAGAGCCACATCTGGGTGGGGAAATTGTATGCAGGGCCATGAATGTAGGGCTGGGGCAGGGGGTGGGGGTGTGGGAGGAAGTGCAGGGTGTGGGAGGGGGTGCGGGGTGCAGGAGGGGGTTCAGGGCATGGGGTTGGGGAGGAGGAGGGGTGCAGGGTGCAGCAGGGGACTCAGGGCAGGGGGTTGGGGGCTCAGGGCATGGGATTGGGTGCAGGAGGGGTTTGGGGTGTGGCAGGGGGCTCATGGCAGGGGTTTGGGGTACAGGAGGCGTGTGGCAGGAGGTTAGGGAGCTCAGGGCAGGGGGTTAGGGTTCGCGGTGCAGGATGCAGGAGGGGTGCAGGGTGCGGGCACCTCAAGCGGCTCCGGGCTGGCAACAGCGTGCATTGGGGCTAAGGCAGGCTCCCTGCCTGCCCTGGCCCCGCGCAGCTCCCAGAAGTGGCCAGCATGTCCAGCAGTGGCTCCTGGGGGTGGGGTGGGGCAGGGCGGGGCAGACAGCTCTGCCGTGCGCTGCCCTCGCTTGCGGGTACCACCCCCGGAGCTCCCATTGGCCACGGTTTCCCATTCCCAGCCAATGGAGGCTCCGGGGGGCGGTGCCTGCAGGTGAGGGCAGCGTACGGAGCCCTCTGTTCTGCCCTTCCCACAGGGGCCACAGGGACGCGGTGCCAGCCAATTCCTGGAGCAGCGCAGGGCCAGGGTGGGCAGGGAGCCTGACTTAGCCCCATTGCACCATGGGGCTGGCAATCCCACGAGCCAGATTGAAAGCCCTGATGGGCTTGATACGGCCGGCAGGCCGTAGTTTGCCCTCCCCTGTTCTACACCAAGGCCCATTGCAGGCTGAGGATAGAACCCAGGAGTCCTGGATCCCAGGCACCCCTCCCTGCTCTGACCACTAGACCCCACTCCCCTGCCAGAGCTGGGGAGAGAACCCAGCAGCCCTGCCCTCCCTGTGTCAAGCCCTTGTGCCCATCTAGCCCGGTATCCAGCCTCGTACCTGCAGCTCTGTTATGTTCTCCTGCTGGTGGCACTGGCTCTGCACCAGCCTCTTGAGACCTTCCTGCAGGGGCTGCAGAGACGCCTTGAGCTGTTCCTGGGCAGCAGAGATCCGGGGTCACCGGCTGGAGCCGGGGGGGACCTGCTGCCACCCCATCGAGATTCCCCGCCCAGCAATGGGATTTCAGTCCCAGATCCCTCCCGGGAATTTCAGCCCTGCCCAGACCTTCCCATTGGCTGCCCTTCCCCAAAATCCCTGCCTCCCAGGAACGGGCAGCCAATCAGAGCTGCGGCAGGTGGCAGGCAGAATGTGCTACCTTCCCCCACCCGGGAGGGGTTTTCAGGTAGGGGAGGAAGGAGCAGAAAGAGCCAGACAGTTCCAGCCACAGGTTAGTCCGCTCCCCACACCACGCTGGGAGCAATGGGTCAGACTGCTCTCACCCCCCTCACAATAGGTCAGTCCACTCCCACCCTCTCCTGTTAACAATAGATCAGTCCACTTCCTACTATGAGCAAGAGGTCAGTCCTCTCTCCCCTCTTCCCCTGTGAGCAATGGGTCAGTCCACTCCCCTCTTATCCGTGAGTAGTGGGTCAGTCCACTCCCCCCTGAGAGCAATGAGTCAGTCTGCTTCCCCCCTCCCCCTGTGAACAATGGGCCAGTCCACTCCCCCCCCCCGCAGAGTAATGGGCCTGTTCACTCCCCCCTCCCCCTTGATGAGCCACCCCCTGTCCCCCCCCCCCCCCGATGAACAATGAGTCAGTCCACTCCCCCCCCCACAGAGTAATGGGCCTGTTCACTCCCCCCTCCCCCTTGATGAGCCACTCCCCCTGCCCCCCCCCATGAACAATGCGTCAATCCACACACACCCTAACACAAGCCCTGGGAGGGGGAGGGATGAAGTGCAGGGTGGGGGCAGGACTGACACGTGGCTGATCGTGATCAGCACTGATGTGGGTCTCGACTTGTCTCTGGGGTGGGGGGCCCAGAAAGCTCTGATGTGGGGATGGGGGCACTGGGTTCACATGGGGCTTGAAGGGGCAGAATTAAAGGCTGGGCTGGGAAGCAGCCGGAGGCCAGCTGGGGTGGGCAGAATTGAACCCACGAGACCCTGCCTAGGGAACCCAGGAGTCCTGGTTCCGCCCTCCCTCCCCCCAACCTCTGAACCCCACTCTTCTCCCAGAGAACCCAGGCATCCGGGCCCTCACCTGATATTTCTGGACGGCGTTTTTGATGGGCAGGAAGTCGTGGCCGCGGTGCTGGGGCAGGTCCCGGCAGATCACGCACACGGGCCCCTCGTCCTGGCTGCAGAAGAGTTTGAGCGGCTCCTCGTGCTCTGCGCAGAAATACCAGCTCCCGCCTCCGCCCGGCTGGGCCCCCTCGTCCAGTTTGAGCAGCCGGGCTTTCTCCGCCAGGCTGCACAGGGCCCGGTTGAGGGCCACCCGGCGCAGGGCGAAGGGGTGCCGGCACTCGGGGCACAGCCCCCGGCCTTGCCCCTTGGGGACGCAGGGCTCCAGGCAGGCAGCGCAGAAGCTGTGTCCGCACTCCAGCATGCGGGGGTCCCGGAACAGGGACAGGGAGATGGGGCAGAGCAGGTCCTCCGTGAAACTGGAGACTTCCCTAATTGAGGCCATCACGGGATGGGGACGTCCCTTCTCCCCGGGGCCGGGACGCTGCTGGGCCGGGACATCCCTTCTTCCCGGGGCTGGGTCCTTGCTGGGCCGGGACGTCCCTTCTCCCCGGGGCCGGGACGCTGCTGGGCCGGGACGTCCCTTCTTCCCGGGGCTGGGTCCTTGCTGGGCCGGGACGTCCCTTCTCCCCGGGGCCGGGACGCTGCTGGGCCGGGACGTCCCTTCTTCCCGGGGCTGGGTCCTTGCTGGGCCGGGACGTCCCTTCTCCCCGGGGCCGGGACGCTGCTGGGCCGGGACGTCCCTTCTCCCCGGGGCTGGGTCCTTGCTGGGCCGGAACGTCCCTTCTCCCCGGGGCTGGGTCCTTGCTGGGCCGGGACGTCCCTTCTCCCCGGGGCTGGGTCCTTGCTGGGCCGGGACGTCCCTTCTCCCCGGGGCTGGGTCCTTGCTGGGCCGGGACGTCCCTTCTCCCCGGGGCTGGGTCCTTGCTGGGCCGGGACGTCCCTTCTCCCCGGGGCCGGGACGCTGCTGGGCCGGGACGTCCCTTCTCCCCGGGACTGGGTCCTTGCTGGGCCGGGACGTCCCTTCTCCCTGGGGCTGGGCTGCCCTGTCTCTGCCCCCAAACCCAAAGGCACTGGAGCCGGCTGCAGTGCAATGTGGCCAGGCTGCAGCTGCAACAGGACCCGCCTCCTCTGCTGACTCAGCGATTCCTCCTGGGGCTGCAAGGTGCCTGCCTCCTGCCTTCCCCCCCACCCCCCAGCCCTGACTCAGCACCGCTTTGTTTTCACCATTCCTCCCATTAACCCCCGCCTCTCCAGGGCTGCTGGAAATGACTATGCACCTCCGTGATTGGCTCTGCCAGCTGCCCTGGCTGTGCAGACAATGTGCGGGGGGGGGGGGGGGGGTCATGGTGAAGTCATTTTGGGGGACAGACTGAGCAAACACCTCCTCCCCCCTTCCTGAAACTGCCCCACAGCAGGCTGTGAAGCCTGGGAGCCAGGACTCATGTATTCTATCCCCAGCTCTGGGAGGGGAAGCGGGGGCTAGTGGGTGGGAGCAGGGGGGGCTCGGAGCCAGGACTCCTGGGTTCTGTTCTGAGCTCTGGTTTATTTGATTCATACACTTTGAAAATGTCCTCGTAACCAGGTTAATATCGTCCAAAGACTCGATAAAATCAGCTACTCATGCAACACACAATGAAATGCCGGTGTCCTGCCTGCTGGGCAACCCAGGTACATTTCCATGGCTTGTCTCTCACACTGGCAGGCTAGAGAGGCTGGATCCTGGTGGCTTCACTCTCCACCAAATCTCCCCCCTCAAAATATATGGCAGCTTTTCCTCTGAATCCGAATCTCTGAGGGCTGGGATCATCTGCACAGATGCATCCCAGGTGGTCGTCAGTGCCACGTGATAGATCCATCATGGACTGTGTCTAGAAAAGAAAAATAGTTGAATATTGATACCTTGCAGAGATGCAGCCAGCTCTGGGGTGGGGCAGCTGGGTAACAGCCACACAGCGACACCACATGGGAATGGCTTGCCTCAGTCAGGGTTGCAGCCAGCTCTGGGGCAGGACATCTGGGTAACAGCCGCACAGCAACACCACACGGGCATGGCTCGCCCAGCACTGAGATGCAGCCACCTCAGGGGTGAATCTTGGCTCCCCCACGGTGTCTCCTAAAGGTAGGACTGTGACACTGCACCCCATATTCATCATAGTGGCATGATTATGACATAATTATGATGTATTTTGTACAAGATGTGTCCTGTGAGGTCTCTGTGAAAAGTTGTTATTTGCTGGATATGATTATCCTATTTGTATGCATGTATCATTTGTGTATCTGAAGTTATGAATATTGACTGTGTAGCTGTATTTCAAATGGGCTTACTCTGGGTAACACCCACAACTAGCCTTCCAGGTACAACAATGAAGACGCGAGGCAGTGCTGATGGCTCATCAACAAAGACAATGGACCACAGAAGAGCATAGCCTTCCTATAAACGTTTCAGCCAGCCTATGAGTAATGGCTTCTATGCCCCAGCAAGGGCATGTGACCAGACCACATGACACTAAACTCCAGTTTGGTGCCTGTATTCTGCCACAAACCAGGCTGGGAATTTAGCTTGAAACAAAGGGGTTCCCGCTGTGTGGAGAGACTATATGAGGTGGGGCGTGACATCATGACTGGTCTTCACTCCCCCACAACTCAACACCTGAAAGAAGCTCTGGAAGACAAAGGACTTGGAATGGGGGAGGGGAACCGAGGCTGCCAGGCAGATGTGGCTTGTGCCTTAAGAATCTGCAAGCCTGCTTGTACCGTCAGTCAGGGTGAGATATGGCTAATTCAAATCCTATCGATCTAGTATATTAAGCTTAGCTTGTGTTTTTGTTTATTTACCAGGTAATCTGCTTTGATCTGTTTGCTGTCACTTATAATCCCTTAAAATCTCTCCTTCTGCAGTTAATACACTTGTTTTAAGGTTTTATCTTAACCAGTGTGTCTTGAAGTGAAGTGCCTGGGAAAATCTCAGCTTGGTGGACACAGGCTTGTTGTGCATATCTTTCCCACATCGAGGGGAAAGCAAACTATATTAATGAGCTTGCATTGTACAGATCCCCATGCAGTGCAAGACAGTATAATTCTGGGTTCATACACCAGCAAGGGTGCAGGGCTGGGGAGCTGGGAAATTGGCTCCTGTCTCCTGTATGTCCTTGAGTGGCTTAGGTAAAGCATTCAGGTAGCTCAGCTGTGTGCATGGCACCACCTGCTGTCATGCAGGGTGATAACAGGGCCTGGAGAGGCTGGCTGAGTCACCAGCAGAGCCGCGTGAGAAGGGCCAGCCCAGTTAAATGGTTAGGGTCACAGCAGTTCCCACGGCTCCCAAACTGCAGTCCAGGGGGTGACAACCCGTCACAAGGACAAGGGTGAGAAACCAGCCTGACCTGCTTGGATGGTCCCCAGCATTTTCTGCCAGGCCTCAAAGTCCAGCGATTCCTTGAATTCCTCGAGAGCTGGGTCCACAGCAACGATATCCCCATCTTCATCTTCCTCCTCCTCCTCCTCGCCATTAGCATCATCTTCATCTCCTTCCTCCTCCTTGCCATTAGCCACATTTTCATCTTCATCAGTCGAATCATCTTCATCGCCGCTGGACCCTTCGTCACTTGCACCATCCTCTTCCTCCTCCTCACCGTGGCTTGACTGATCCTCCTGGACTCTACAAAGAGAGAAATCTACGACAGCAGCCACCTGTGTGTGTGCACACAGATCTCTCTCTCTCTGCGCACGTACGGATCTCTGTGTGTGTGCGCACACATACGGATCTCTGTGTGTGAGGGCGGACGTGTGTGTGACGCCATGTGCAATTGTGTGTGTGTGTGTGTACAGATCTCTGTGGGACTCCATGTGTGATTGTGTGTGACTCCATGTGTGATTGTGCGTGTGTGTCACAAAGAGAGGAACACGCAGACCAAAACAGTAGCCCTAAAAAGGAAGTGGGGGGGAGGGATGGGGACACACTCACCTTCTCATCAGCTCCTTGATGCCCTAGATTAGGGAGAAAGAGACAGGATTGACTCCTGGAACTACCCTCCACAGTAACACTCCATGCCCCGTTGTAGGTGAGATACCAGCCCTATGGGACAGCCCTTTCCCAGCTCCCCCTGCTCAGCCCCAATTCCCACCCCTGCCTCATCCAACCACTACTGTCTCCAGCTGCTTTCCCTCCCTACTCCTTCTTCTGCATGTTCCTCATGTCATACACCTGCCCATCACCCCTAACCTGCTTCTGCCTCGACAGCCTGTTCCCCTCCCAGAGACTCCAGGAGTCCTGACTCCCAGCCCCGCTGCTCTAACCCACTAGACCCCACTCCCCTCCCAGAGCTGGGGATAGAACCCAGGATTCCTGGCTCCCAGCCCCATTACACAATCTCCCATCCCACAGCTCCATCATGTAGCGCCTCCCAGCCATGTTCCCATCTCCTGGCAGATGAAATCCCGCCTCACCCTGAGGAAGGCTGTGTGATCTGAGGTGTCCAGCCCCACCCGAGCCATGGACAGGGTCTCGCTACGAAAGGTCACTTCTTCATCCAGCTCCTTCAGCCTCTCCTCCATCTCCTCCCGGTTCTCCTCCTTCAACCTCCCCACAGTCTCTTTCATGCCCTGCTCCTTCTCCTGCAGGATCTGATGGAGAACCTCAAACTCCTCGGTGATATAGCCCAAGAGGTCCTGGGTATAGCTCTGCAGAGGGTGGAGAAACCAGCAGGAGGTTCAAAACACACCACCGACGGAGCATTTGCAGGAGGCAGGATGACCGGTCCCTCAGTTTCCCCAACTGTACAGTGGGGAGAACTGCACTTCCCTACCTCACAGGGGAGCTGGGAGGGTGAGCACAGGAAAATGGAGTGAGATGGGAATTTATTTGACAAAATGTTTTTTATAGAAAAATTTGGAAAAATAGAAACTGTGAGTGAAACAGGGTTTGGACATGACAAATCTCCTAAATCAGGAAACGTTTGGCGGGGAAGGTGAGCTAAAGGGCCAGGCCATGTTAATTTAGGGACAGTCACTGACTCCTAACAATAATAATACCTAGCACTTTTCATCCTCAGATCTAGCAGCCCCTGACAAGTTTTCCTGGCTCTGCCAACGTCTGGGGTCTGCTCTGTAATCCTGAGTCCTGGCTACTGGCCTGTCATTAACGAGCATTCATCAAAAACCAGACTTGTGGGAAAGGCTGATTTTTCAAAAGGGGGTTTTCCGAAGGAAGTCAGTGTCATAATCCCTGTCTGACAGGTAGGGAAACTGAGGCACGGATTGGGGCAATGACTGGCCCAAGGTCATTCCGCGGCAGAGCCAGGAATAGAACCCAGGTGTCCTGAATTCCTTGCCAGTGCTCGAGCCACGAGGGCAGAGGTGGGCAAAATTTTTGGCCTGAGGGCCACATCTGGGTGTGGAAATTGTATGGTGAGCTATGAATGCTCACGAAATTGGGGTTGGTGTGTGGGAGGGGGCGAGGGCTCTGGCTGGGGGTACAGGCTCTGGGGGTGGGGCCAGAAATAAGGATTTCAGGGTGTGAGAGGGGCCTCCGGGCTGGGCCATGGGGTTGAGGTGTGGGGGGGGGCTCCAGCTGGGGGTGCTGGCTCTGGGGTGGGGCTGGGTATCAGGAGTTTGGGGTGCAGGAGGGTGCTCTAGGCTGGGACCAAGGGGTTTGGAGGGTGGCTGGGGCAGGGGGTTGGGGCACGGGACGGGCTCAGGGGTGCAGGCTCTGGGTGGCGCTTACCTCAAGCAGCTTCCGGAAGCAGCGGCGTGGCCAATGGAAATTGCGGGGGCGGCGCTTGGGGCAGGGGCAGCACGCAGAGCCCCCTGGCTTCCCCTAAACGTAGGAGCCGGAGGGGGACAGGCCACTGCTTCCGGGAGCCACGGCATGCGTGCGTGGAGTGGACCCCGACCCCGCTCCCCGGTTGGAGCAGGGCAAGCCACAGACCCCCAGCAGGAGCTGGAGGGCCGGATTAAATCGGTTGGCGGGCCGGATGTGGCCCACGGGCCGTCGTTTGCCCACCCCTGCACTAGGGTATGTGGCATCGCTCTCCTAGGCCTATAGGCATGGTCCAGCCAGTAGGAGGTGACAGCGAGCCCACACTGTAAATGTAGGTTAAAGCCTGACCCAATCTCGGGACCATATGAGGGGGATTTTGGCAATACCTCCAGCTCTGCTATGTTCTCCTGCTGGCGGCGCTGGTCCTCAGTGACTGAATTCAGATTGTCCTTCAGGGGGACGAGAGATGCCTTCAGCTTGTCCTGTGCGGTAGACAAACCCACCCGTCAGCGAGGGTTTTTTACCCTTTCCTCACAGGTCAGGTTTTCTCAACCTTTGATCATTTTCGTTGCTGCCCTCTGGACTCTCTCCAGTTCGTCGACGTCTTTCCTCAGGGGCAGCGCCCAGAACTGGATGCAACATGGCAGCTGAGGCCTCACCAGGGCCGAATCGAGCAGGACAACGACCTCCCGCGTCTTACCTACGACACCCGTTCACACACCCCAGACGATCAGCCTCTTTTGCAGCCGCATCACCTTGGTGACTCATCTTCAGTTTGTGAGCCACTGGACCCCCCAGTCCCTTTCCAGCAGCTCAACCACCTGGCCTGTCGTTCCCGGATTTGCAGCCGTGCATTTGATTTTTTCCTTCCGAGTGTAGTACATTGCCCGTATCTTTATTGAATTGCATCTTGATTTCAGACCCATTCTCCAGTGACACAGCGAGGAGTCCCCCCATAATGAACTGGCCCCCCAGCTGATGTAACAAGACAGGAGCTGTGCTCGGGACAGAGTCCGGGAGCGTCCCCCAGCCTAGTTTGACCTACTTAGACCCCAAATTCCCCTCCCAGAGCCGGGGATAGAATCCAGGAGTCCTCACATCCAGCCTCTATCTTCCAACCCAGTAGATTCCACTCCCAGAGAACCCAGGCATCCTGGTTCTCAGACCCCCCCCCCCCCAGCTCTAACCACTAAACACCACTCCACTCCCAGAGAACCCAGGTGTCCTGGCTCCCAGCTCCCTCCCCCCCTCTAACCACTAGACCCTGCTCCCCACTCCAAGAACCCAGGCGTCCTGGTTCTCAAACCCTCTGCTCTAACCACTAAACCCCATTCCCCTCCCAGGGAACCCAGGTGTCCTGGCTCTCAGGCCCCCCGCTCTAACCACTAAACCCCACTCCACTCCCAGAGAACCCAGGCGTCCTGGCTCCCAGCCCCCCTGCTCTAACCACGAGACCCTGCTCCCCACTCCAAGAACCTAGGTGTCCTGGTTCTCAGACCCTCTGCTCTAACCACTAAACCCCACTCCCCTCCCAGAGAACCCAGCTGTCATGGCTCTCAGGCCCCCTACTCTAACCACTAGACCCTGCTCCCCACTCAGAGAACCCAGGCATCCTGGTTCTCACACACACCCCGCTCTAACCACTAGACCCTGCTCCCCACTCAGAGAACCCAGGCATCCTGTTCTCACACACCTCCCCGCTCTAACCCACTAGACCCTGCTCCCCACTCCAAGAACCCAGGCATCCTGGTTCTCAGACCCTCTGCTCTAACCACTAAACCCCATTCCCCTCCCAGGGAACCCAGCTGTCCTGGCTCTCAGGCCCCCGTACTCTAACCACTAGACCCTGCTCCCCACTCAGAGAACCCAGGCATCCTGGTTCTCACACACCCCCCGCTCTAACCACTAGACCCTGCTCCTCACTCAGAGAACCCAGGCATCCTGGTTCTCAGACCCTCTGCTCTAACCACTAAACCCCATTCCCCTCCCAGGGAACCCAGCTGTCCTGGCTCTCAGGCCCCCCTACTCTAACCACTAGACCCTGCTCCCCACTCAGAGAACCCAGGCATCCTGGTTCTCACACACACCCCCGCTCTAACCACTAGACCCTGCTCCTCACTCAGAGAACCCAGGCATCCGGGCCCTCACCTGATATTTCTGGACGGCGTTTTTGATGGGCAGGAAGTCGTGGCCGCGGTGCTGGGGCAGGTCCCGGCAGATCACGCACACGGGCCCCTCGTCCTGGCTGCAGAAGAGTTTGAGCGGCTCCTCGTGCTCCAGGCAGATGGACCATCCGGACCCTTTTCCGCCCGGCTGGGCCCCCTCGTCCAGTTTGAGCAGCCGGGCTTTCTCCGCCAGGCTGCACAGGGCCCAGTTGGTGGCCACCCGGCGCAGGGCGAAGGGGTGCCGGCACTCGGGGCACAGCCCCCGGCCCTGCCCCTTGGGGACGCAGGGCTCCAGGCAGGCAGCGCAGAAGCTGTGTCCGCACTCCAGCATGCGGGGGTCCCGGAACAGGGACAGGCAGATGGGACAGAGCAGGTCCTCGGCCAGGCTGGACGCGTCCAGAGCAGACGCCATCCCAGCCCTGCGCCCTGAAATGTCCCCCGACCGGGCGGAGCCACGGGCCCCGGGGCTTTTGCTTTCGTTTCCCGCACACACATGTACACCGCCCTGCCAGAGGAAAGGGAGAGCCCGGCAGCTGTCACCGCCCCGCACGCTTCCGCCGGCTCTCCAAAGTTCAGCTTCTTTTGTTTGCATAAGTCAGAAGCAATGTCCAGAGCTGGGGAGAGAACCCAGGAGTCCTGGCCCTCCCCGGCTCTAACCCACTAGACCCCTCTCCCCTCCCAGGGCTAGGGAGAGAACCCAGCAGTCTTGGCTCCCAGCTCCCCCTGCCCCGCTGCTCTAACCACTGGACCCCACTCCCCTCCCCTCCCCTCCCAGAGCTGGGGAGAGAACCCAGGAGTCCTGGCTCCCAGCTGTAACCACTGGATCCCACTCCCCTCCCCTCCCACAGCTGAGGAGAGAACCCAGGAGTCCTGGCTCCCAGCTGTAACCACTGGACCCCACTCCCCTCCCCCTCCCACAGCTGGGGAGAGAACCCAGGAGTCCTGGCTCCCAGCTGTAACCACTGGATCCCACTCCCCTCCCCTCCCACAGCTGAGGAGAGAACCCAGGAGTCCTGGCTCCCAGCTGTAACCACTGGACCCCACTCCCCTCCCACAGCTGGGGAGAGAACCCAGGAGACCTGGCTCACCTGCTCCACTCCCATCCAACCTCTCCCTAAACCAATGTGTACAGGGGTCGGGGGGGGGTACAAGGTACAGCGGCTTTCTACACCTCTAATCCCTCCTGGAACAGAGGCTGCAATGAGGGTTTCCACCAGTAGGGTGCAGTCGTGCTCTGAGGAATGACGTAACCCCTGCTCCCTCCACCCCACCCCACCCCACCCACACCCACAGTCTCCTGCTGCTCAGTTTACAGGGTCCCTCCTAACCGGCTGCAACTTGCTTTTCATCTGTTTGTTTTTCCACTCCCCTCTTTTCAGTCTCTCTTCTCCATCCCACCCCCCTCTCCCCAGTTCCTGGCCTGCTCCCCAGCTCTGAACCAGGTCTTCCCACCCTGCAGCTTCTCTCTTTCCTCCCCATTCTCGCCCGCCCACCCCTGTGGGGAGCCAGGTCCTACCGACTTTCAGCCACTTTCTCTTTTTCTTCCCCCATCTGCCTCCATCCCTCCAGCCTCAGTTTTGTGACTGGGTCCCCTCCCCGCCTGCTGCCACTTACCTGTATTTGCTCCGTCTCTCCTTCCAGCCCTTTTCCCCCTAGTTTGGAGCTGGGTCCTGCCAACCGGCAGCAACCTTCCAGGTCCTTCTCTCATTCGTTTGTTCCTGGACTCTTCCTTTTCTTGTTCCCTTTGCTTGGATTCTTTCTTTGTTCGCCATTCCCCTTTTCCCAGCTTGTAACGGGTTCTCCAACCCACCAGTTTGCATTCTCTCTCTCTCCTTCTTTCATTCCTTTGTTCCTTTTCTTTCCTTCTTTCAGGGCCGGCATAAGGGAAAATGGCACCCGGGGTGAACTTGTTTTTTGGCCCCCCGGCCCGTGTGTGTGCAGTGCCCCCCAAAATTGCTCCGGCCCCCGTGGGTGCACCCCATTGCCCCTGGCTCCCCGCCCTCCCTCCCTTCACCCTCTAACCCCTGCACCCCTAATCCCCGCACTTCCCCTGCACCCTGTGCCCCAATCCCTGTATTGTGCCCCCCGCATCTCTAATCTCTGCACCCCATCCCGTGCCCCTAATCCCTGCACTCCCCCCTTTACCCAACCCCCCCCCCCCCCCCTGCGCCCACATGGGGAAACTGACCTGGATACATGGATGCCCTGCTGCTCGCTCCCCGCAACGCTGCTCCTCCACGCCCCCCAGGGGGCTGTGAGGAGGCGTGCGAGGAGTGACAGTCAGGGCTCCCGGCATCCAGGTCACTTTCCCCACCTAGGCTGCATAAGGGGAGGGCAGGAGAGCAGCGGGGAGCAACGCACTGCCACATGGTGACCCCCCGACCGCAGCGCCCTGGGCAGTCGCCCGGGTGGCCCACCCCCGAGGCCAGTCCTGCCTTCTTTTCCCTTCCTTCCATCCCTTTTTCTCCCATTTTGTAGCCTGTAGTACCCAAGGTCCCCTCCCAAGCCGCACTGACTTTCATTCTCACTCGGATACTCCTTTCTTCACTACTTTCTTCTTTCTTTTCTAAATAGCCACCTCTCTTCTTCCCCCGTTTGGATCCAGGTCCCCTCCCAACCTGAAGCAACATTCATTCGTGCATTCCTACCCACGCCAGAGGAGCTCACCCAGCAATTCTGGCATCCAGCCCGTATCTGGTGGTTGAGCTAGAATGTATTTTGGATAAGACCAATTTTATCTTGATTTACAGACTCCAGGGAATTAGGAATCCACCAGGTTCCTAAGTAAGTTGTTCCAGTCATTAATTACCCTCCCTGTTAAATCATTGCACTCTTTTTGTAAGCTGAATGTGTCTAGCTTCAAATTCCAGCCATTGAATCTCATTCTATCTTTGTCTACTAGATTAAAAAGCCTTCTGCACTCAATTTTCGCCCCATGTGGGCCATGATCAAATCACCTCTTAACCTTCTCCTGGATAAACTAAATAGATCGGGCTTGTTTAGTCTGTCACTATAATGCAAGTTTTCCAAACCTGGAATCGTCCTTGTGGCTGTTTACTGAAACCAGGGGTGCCGGAACCGGGGAGGTCGGGGGGGACCATGCCTGCCCACTTTTTTACATGGGCGTAGTTTGCGGACGGAGGGCTGCATTGCCCCCTCAAACTGAATAGTGTAAGTCCCAGAACAAATCCAATTAGACACTCCCTCATTCAATAATGATTTCCCATTGAAAACTATGTCTTGAGATTTATCAGTATCTCAATTTTTACCCATTTCATGTGCGCTGCACTGATCTTTTCAGAGTGCTAATTTTTTTAATTGGGATGTTGTGTGGTACAAAAGTCTTATTGTATTACGTCAACAGAGTTACCTTTCTCAGCATTGTATATATAGATCAACCAACCAAAGTTGTGAAATCATCAAAAAACAGTATCAAGTTTGTCTGACAAAACTTTACAACCTAATTCCCACAACTTTTTATGAGGAAAGCAACTTCAAGGACACAGGTATAGAAAATGCAAAGCTTTTATTCACCACATAAAAGGAAACAACTAAACAACAACAACAAAAATCTATATATTAGTGTAAAAATCTTTTTTTCTCTACTCGCCAAATATGTACAGATCCCGTTTCCAAATAACAATAGTAAAAAAGAAGAAAAAACTACCAAGATTAGCAAGGAATTTAAAAAATGAATAAAAAGCATTTGACAGGGTTGTGTGTGGGTGGAGAGAGACAAAAACATACACATCCAAATCATTAAATCTATATCATAGTCACCAATATTTACTCCTTGGAAACAAAAATATGACCGGTTTCAGAGTAGCAGCCATGTTAGTCTGTATTCGCAAAAAGAAAAGGAGGACTTGTGGCACCTTAGAGACTAACCAATTTATTGTTATGACTTTTATTTATATGTCTGGGGATTTCAGAGAAGTCTAAGGAAATTTAGTGCTCAAAAGCTCATTCATTTCTATGAGCACTTCACTCACCTTCACCTCCTTTGGGAAGCTCAGCTCAAGACTTTGCAAAGTGATTAGTGATTTCACACCTTAAAGGCAGATTTTCCGAGAAGGCCCTTTGGCGTCGTGCCTCTTTCCCGCTACAAAAATGAATGCACCCTAAAACACTAGTCACCAGTGAAAATCTCACTGCCCCCAGACTTTGTAGTATGTTATCTACAATCTCTTGCTCCAAGTCTCAGGAGGAAGTAAAAATTAAATTACAAACAATGATGCCTGGATCCCCAGCTGGTGCCAACCAGCAGCAGTTGCACTGATGTTGACGGCATCAGCTGGGGATCTGACCCTGCTAGAACAAACAGTGTCTCTTGCTTTGTTAGAGCAGATCACCGGCCCCCTCTCGACCAGTCTCCCTCCTCTGAGGGTGGCCTGGTTGCCTCCAGGCTATTTCATTGTTGTCCCGTACCTTCGCCCCACCCCTCCCTTCCCCTGTCCATGTCAGTAGCAACTCCTACATCCAGTGTTCAGTTCACCCCAGTGCCATGACACCAAGGCACTATTTTCCCCCCAGTGTTAGTCCAGTCCAAGTGAAATTAAAATAATACAGAAGTCTGATCCCCAAGCCAGTTCTGCCAAGTCCCTTTTGGAGTCATCCCCGCTGCAGGACGGCAGTGGGGAAGAAAGAAACACCCTCCAAGGGATACAGAGGGGAAGAGTAAAAAAGAGGGAATGAGGGAAGGGAGGAGTAAGGAGCAAGGAAGGGTAGATGGGAAAAAAGGGAGTGAGAGAAAGAGGGATTGAGAGACGTAGAGGGGATGAGAGATGGTGACAAGAGAAAGTGAGAGAGGGACATGGAGTCTGTGTGTGAATGAGTGAGAGAAAGAGAGAGCGGGATAATGAAAAAAGGATGAATAGATAGAGAGAAGAAGAAATGTATCGATAGAAAGGGTCAGGAATGCCTGGAGAGAGAAGTGAGCTAGCTAGCTAGAGTGGCAGGCAGGCTGGCCAGCCAGGGATGGACAGATAGAGGTAGGGCCAGACACAAGAACAGATGCCCCTTAAGACGCCCCAGTAGAGAAGCTTCCAGTTCCCAGATCCAGCTCCCCACCCAAGCTCCTGCACAGACGACCCACAGCTGTAGCTGGAGAGATGCAGAATAGAAGCTGATGCCTGGGGGTCCACATGGGCTGGTGCCCCCTCTGCTCAGCTTGGCTCACACCATGTTGAGGGCGTCCTCAGACAGGAAGCGGTGGATGTGCTGGAAGGAGGGACGGTCCTTGGACTCGCGGACCCAGCAGCGCAGCATCACCTCATAGAGAGCCAGGGGGCAGGCAGGGGGCCGGGACAGGTATATCTGGGGGCAGAGAGGGATCAGTGAGTGCCTATCCCACAAGCCAGCCAGCTGTCCCGCCCTGGTGCCAGATCAGAGCCAGCACACCTGTGACATAGTGTACCTCCATATTCACCCCTTGTATATGGTTATGATATATTACCAAGTATGCCTTGAGAGGTATC